CGGGAGTTTATTGAGAGCTTTGGCAAAAGCTTCACGTCGTTCAGCTGGGGCTTCCTTCCAGTCCACGAGTGCCCCAAATGCAAGCAAAATTGTTCCACGCGAGCTCGGATCGTTCACAAAATCCGCGGATTTACCGGACAGATTGCGGAACTGCTTACAGTAGGCACCATATACAAATAGCTAAAACGAAAGTATTCAGGACTGGGACTCATAAAGCGGTGCAACAGTATTATATTCAGTTAACAGCGCTGGACAGCTTCTTGGTATCCGATCAGCTTGTATCCTATCGCTTGCCAAATCCCAAGTGAAAGAAAGGTAGGCTTGCTCTCTCAGCTTGAGCACCCTTCTTTCTCCATTCTTTTCGTTTTTCTTTTAAATTTATTTAACTCATATATTTATTTCATATTAGTAATGCTTTAATATAAGTAAGAACATTTTATAAAAAATATATATACATATACATTAATGTTTTCAATAATACACATGATCTTATATGCTATAAATAAACTCAAATATTACAAACCACCTAGTAACTTAATATTATAGGTTATTTTCATCGTAATTTATCAATATCTCTTCATGGAACCAAAAAACTGATTTGGCTAAAAACTTAGTTTTCCCAACATATTAATCAATTTAACAATCAGTATTATTATAACTATTCTTCCGCAGCGCTTATTATTAACATTCATCACACAATTTAATCTTAATATCTACTAATTTTAATTACCGCAGTCACTGTATTGACAAGGTCCAAATATTGTAATGTAAAAAAATGTATACGACTTAATGGACCGAAACGTTTCTTACCATTAAAATAACTCTATTAATTTACAAATTTCGTAATTCTCATCTCTTGTCTTCCTCGCTTTTCATCTGTTGTTAACATACCTTCCTATTAGCTTCTGGGCGCGACATACTCGATCACCGCACCACCAGCCCTTGTGCTGTACACACCTTTTGAAGCACCCATTTTCTGTAGTACCTCACACATACTCTGTATCATCTGTTGCTGAACTTTGTGCAGCACACCCTTTCAACAGTTGCCAATTTTTCGCGAGACTTCCACAACACTTTTGGACCCCACAGACTCTATGCTATCAATTATTATTATGACAAATGCGTTCTGGACCTCGTTGTTTCTAGAGTCTGGAAGATGCAGCTGAGTTGGCATATCTGTGAAGCTCATGGACGACATACGATTAAAAGTCATATAGTCGAAGTCCGGAATAACTGGTACTAATGATTTTTGCATGTAGAAGTTTGCGATCACAGCAGTTGCGAACCAAATTGCAAACCATTCGTAAATCAGATCTAAACGATCCAAAAAGTTCTTCACATCATAGCGAGCATTTTCTGTTTTCATGAAGAATGGTGGCATCGTGGCATAGTGCCTGCAAACTGGAAAACAAACTGCGGCAAAATTAGAAATATATGCTTCATATCTGAAGGATACCAAGATTGTCTAGGCACGGATATGCCGCGAGTGATATTACTGGGATGCTCTCAATTGCCAGTCTTTCGATCCGGAGTTGCGTACCTTCAGTTAATACAAACTGTTTGTTCGATGTTAGCGCGACATCTTTTCATTTGTCGATGGAGCAGTTGTTTGCTTTTCCTTTTTTCTACTTATCTGACGGAGAGTCTATTGGCTTATATGATCGCAAGTGAACGCCGCAACCATGTTTAGCTTTATTGCTCTCTCCGTCGCGACCAACAATCTTTATTAAACTTTTTAAGCGGCCGCGTTTCGCACCCGTATTTCATTGCCTTCATTTTCCTAGTACTTAGGAGATGAGCACTATCCTTCTGGCTCGACATTTTGAAGTCATCAATGACGCATTGGAATTTGCGCTAATCGGTAGCCCATCAGCATGACTAGTCGAGACATACTTCCTAAAATATTTGTAAATATTAGCTTTCAACTTCATGCAGGTCAACACCATCCATCTACAAACCAGCTGCGGGCATACCGGCAGAGTTGACAGTTTTATATATGTTTGCAAAAAAAGACAAAGAAGAGAGTACAGTTTTGGGTCCCGGTAGTTCTTAGGATTACAGATTTCTGATAATGTAAAAATTCATCATCTTACCTGGCAAAT